ACAAAAAACTATCATTAGTTAGTTATCATTAGTTGGACTACAAGTATTTCTGTTGAGCAGTCATTAGTCACTGTGAGGTGAATGGTTATCATGTCCTATCATGAAGTATTAATGTACTTGCACCACATGATGGCGACAAAACGATCAGCATATGGTTTGTTTCCTACAATATTTACAAGATGAACCAGACAAATCCCTAATAAAATGCCTAATAGAAATATTTTGTCTTGTCTTTTAAACCTTATTCCAAGCAGCACTACTACATAGTAAAAATAAAGTTGTCTATTCTGAGAGCTATAATCCTTACTGCAGTAAATTCTACATATTTAAATAATAGAAAATAGAGCAAATTATTAATGAACAGGACTCTTAAAGTTCACTGCATTAAAAAATGAAAAAAAAAATTAATCTATTTGTGGAATTATATTTTAAACCAAATATACTACTCTGTCTATATAAGGTTTTGTTCTGCTGAAAGTCATACACCATAATGCTGTGATGAACTAATGATGATATCAGTATTACAGGCTTCCCAGATGACCGACTCCTCCCTGTCAGTGGATTTAGGGTGTCTATCTCTCTATCATTTTATCTATCTATCTATCTATCTATCTATCTATCTATCTATAGGGGAGCACGGTGGCTCAGTGGTTAGCCCTGCGTGCATGGAGCTTACATGTTCTCCCCATGCTTCGGGGGATTCCTCTGGGTACTCTGGTTTCCTCCCCAGGCCAAAGACGTCTGCTGTAGGCTGATTGGCGTTTCCAAATTGTCCATAGTGTGTGAATAGGTGTGTTAGTGTGTGTGATTGTGGCCTGCAATGGGTTGGCACCCCGGCTGGGTGCCCCCTGCCTTGTGTCCAGGAAATGGGATATATATATATATATATATATATATAGAGAGAGAGAGAGATAGATATCCCCCTTTCACACATACACACACACATATGTGTGTGTGTGTGTGTGTGTGTGTGTGTGTGTGTGTATATATATATATATATATGTA